AGATCCTAGACATACAGGATATCCACAAAACATATTCAACAACCACGGATCAGCAGCAATGTCCAGGGACTGAGGGACTGATAATGAAGGCAAACTTAAATACTAATAAGGGAAATAAAAGATCTGAATAAATGATGAGAACTCCCGTGTGCCTGTTCAGAAATGCAGTTAAAATGATGTTACTTCTTGCCAAGATACCATATAGATTAATGCACTTCAAATGAAAGTATCCGTGCAAACCATGGACAAAGTGATTCTAAAGTTCATCTGGAAAAATAAGCAAGCAAAAATATCTAAAACTTTTTCTTTTGTGTTGTTTTTACCTTTTGTTTTTAAATAATTTCAGTCCTAAACAATTGCCACAAAAATAATATGAGAATCCCCTCAGCACTTTATCCAGATTCACCAACGTCCACCATTTTGGCACATTTGTTTTTATTAACTGCTCCCCCCAGCCCACTCACCTATAAATATGCACATATGTGTAATATTACTTATCTTTTTTTTTTTGAGTTGGAGTCTCACTCTGTCGCCCAGACGGGAGTGCAGTGGCCGCTCCCGGCCACCGCAGCCTTGACCTGCTGGGCTCCGGTGATCCTTCCACCTCAGCCTTCCAAGTGGCTGGAACTACAGACGCGCGCTACCATGCCCAGCCCATTTTAATTTATTGTAGAGATGAGGTCTCGCCAAGTTGCCCAGGCGGTCTCGAACCCGCGGGCTCAGGCAGTTGACTCACCTCAGCCTCCCAAAGGCGTGGGATTACAGGCTGAGCCACCGAGCCCGGCTATTACTTATCTTTGTTGAATCATTTGAGAGTAAATTGAATGCATTATGCCCCTTATTATATATCAGTGTATATTTTCTAAGAATATTGGTATTTTCTCATGTAAGCATAGTACATCCAGGATCATGAACAGTGAAAACAATACTGTTCTTTATAGTCTCTGTGCCTGGTCTGCCAGTTGTGCCAGTAGTGTGCTTTATTGTGTTTACTTTTCATTTCTCTTTATTTCACTTTATTCTGGAGCAATTCTTCGGCCTTCTTTTGTCTTTCATGGCATAGACATTGTGTTAAGAACACACACCAGGTGTTTTATAGACTATTTCTCAGTTTGGGTTCCTCTGATATTTCCTCATGATTAGGTTTTGGCAATACAGCTGACTGTAGTGTTAGATTAGGGAGGTCATGACCTTCTCAGGGACTCACACTCAGAGGCACAGGAAGTCTATAGACCTCTCTTTGTTGACATTAAACTTGATCACCTGGTCGAGGTGTTGTCCAGTTTCTCCACTATGTAGTTAACTTTCCCCAATTAATATGCATTTGGGGGTAGACACTTAAGACCATGCTCACGACACTCTCCTTAATCAAACTTCTATAATTTAGCATCCGTTGATGATTCTTGTATAAGCCAATCTCTGCTATAAGAGTAAAATTCTAATATTAATAAATAGTAAATAATAGTAAAGTTGAAAAATTATAATTTTTCCAGTCCTCCACACTTGTCAACTTTTCCCCCATGCATTTTTTAAATTAGTTTATCTTTTTTACTGTCAGTGTGGACTTAGATGCCCCTATTTTATTCACCAGGTTGTAATTCACTGTGGCTTTTATTTGTTGTGATGCTCAGTTTATCCCGGATTTTGCCAGTGGGAGCCCACGTAGGCTGACTCCTGTGTCTTTTGGGCGTGGTCCCATTGTCTTTTGAGCACCCTGCTTTCTGGCACAACAAAATGTTCCAAGCCCACCTTGAACCTTCTCACCTTACCCAGGGAATCAGTCACTTCTTCAAGGGATCCTGGTACCTTGTAGGACAGATGATTTGAGAACTGGGTTTGGCGTACTAGGCATCTTAGAAAGAAATAAGCTAAGATATACATACAGGGTGGGGGGGCAGGTGTCGTTTCCTAATATTGTGAGTTAATACTGATACCACCGATTCCAGTCTAACTCCCAAGGAGTTCTTTCTTGACTTTTCTGCCTTTTTCCAATTCCATATTTCTGTCTCTCCTTCCACAGAAAAAATTATATAACTCCAAAACATTAACACATTTACCCATTCATTCAATCTTATATTACACATGAATTTGATACAGACTCCCTCCACCCATATGCCTGTGAAAAACAAATTTACTAAAAGGAACATAATATTGTTGCCCTCCCCCACACACACTGGCCTTAGGCAAAAGGCAGCATTCCATAAGTTACTTGGATTATTTCTCTGTGATTATTTTATTGATTCGGAGTACAGTTGGATTCATCTGTTTGTATTTGCATTCAGTTTTAAGTCTATTTTAATCTTGTGGACTTAATTTTTTGAAAATGTAGAACACGAATATGCAACCGGAAAGTCCAAACTCTGTAGCAAGGTATACTCAAAAAGGTATCATTTTCTTCCATCTTCCTAGTTCTACCCAGATCTTTCTTTCCCTGTCTCCCATAAGTAACCAGTTTCATTGTGTTCTGGCTATATGTTTTCTGTGTTTCTTTTTTTTTTTCTTTAACAAAAATAAGCAGAAACTGAGCTCGGTGGCTCAGCCTGTAATCCCACGCTTTGGGAAGCTGAGGTGAGTGGATTGCCTGAGTCTGCAGGTTTGAGACCCGCCTGGGCAACTTGGCGATATCTCTACAATAAATCAAAAATCAGCCAGGCATGGTAGCATGCGCCTGTCATTCCAGCTACTCGGAAGGCTGAGGCGGAAGGATCGCCGGAGCCCAGCAGGTGGAGACTGCAAGTGGCCGGGAGCGGCCACTGCACTCCAGTCTGGGCGACAGAGTGAGACTCCAACTCAAAACAAACACACAAGCAAACAAACAAAAATAAGCAGAAAACATATACACGAATTTGCTTCCTTTATTTTTTTGAAACAGGGTCTCACTTTGTCACCCAGGCTACAGTACAGTAGCCCTGCAGTCTCAAACTTTTGGGCCCCAGCAGTCCACCTGCCTCAGCCTCCTGAGAAGCTCAGACTACGAGTGTGCACCATCACACCCAGCTACCTAAAATTTTTCTGTAGAGACAAAGCTTCACTATGTTGCTTAGACTGGTCTCAAACTCTTAGCCTCAAGCAATTATCTCTCCTCAGCCTCCTCAAACACTGGAATTATAGGTGTGCGCCACTGTGCCCAGTCCCTTCCATTTTAAACAATAAAAAAAATAGCGTACTGTACAAACTTTTTTTCCACTTTGCTTTTGTTCACTTAACAATATATCCTAGCCCAGGTACGGTGGCTCACACCTGTAATTCCAGCATTTTGAGAGGTAGAGGCAAGAGGATTGCCTGAGCCCAGGAGTTCGAGAGCAGCCTGGGCAACATGGCCAGACCTCATCTCTACAATAAATCAAAAAATTAGCCAGATGTGATGGTGTGTGCCCATAGTTACACTACTTGGAGGATTGAGGTGGCAGAGTTGCCTGACCCCAACAGGTTGTCTGCAGTGGCTGTGAGCATGTCACTGCACTCCAGCCTGGGTGACAGAGTAAGACTCTGACTCAGAAAAAGCCTCCAGACTTTGCCAAATGTCCCTGAGGGGTGTTCAGTTACCCCCAGTTCAGAATCACTCATCTGTATCATCTCTGCTCGAAGCATAGCATCAAAAAATGAAATCACAAAGAAAAAATTTGAAAATGTTAACTACATTTTAAAAAAGACTTTAACACTTACAGAAGTTATAAAATTGGAATTCAAACAAGTTGAATAATAATATAACATAAATGACATACTCATCACATAAAACCTAATCAATAAGAAGAGCTCTAAATAGCCACGTAAATATTCAAAAAAATCAGTATGCTAATAATCTGAGATTTCTAAAATAAAACATGAATAAATTTAGGATGCATGCTTTACCTTTCATATTGGTAAACGTGGCACAAACCTCAGTGTGTGTGAAGGGAGACAGATAATTTCATAAAGTGATGGATACATAAATAAGACCAACATTGATGGACACAAGGGCAACGCCTGTTAGACCTTTGAGATCGTACATAGCTTTGGTCCCTGCGGTTCTATTCTGGTACTCTAGCCTGAAGAAATAATTGAGCTGTGAAAAGTTCAGTTGCAGTGCTGTTCATTATGGCTAAACATTGGAAAAACCCATCTGTGCTTTTACTCCACAGTAAGGAACTGGTCAGATAAATTAAGGACGTCTGTATTTTTAATGAAATACACTAGGTCAGTATTACAGTGAATGCAGTTATGTACTTGGAGGAAGTAGATAGATCATACTTAGAAACTCAGGTAACAGAATTGTCTGTGTGTGTACTTATCTCTGAGATATATTGCTCTTTTTCCTTTCTATATATGTAAAATTTGAGAGATTATCTTTAGTAGCAAGATAGTGTAGAAATTTTTCATTTTTATATTTGCATGTCCTCATGTTTCTTCCAATTAATATGAATAGTTTATATAATAAAATAAAATGGAGAAGTTAAACATTTTTAAATTCCTTGTCTCAATCTCAAATTTTAAAACTTTAGTAAAAATTTTTAAAGTAGAAAATTAAAAAATTTTAAATACTAAAAACAAGAAATGCTAAAAACATGAAAGCATTATTTATAAGTGAAAAATAAGTAATGATAACATGAATGTCCCAAGAGAATTATCCATATGGTAGACCACTCTGCATGTGTAGGGAAAAAAGGTGTTTTTAAAAGTCTAAACTAATACCATCTCGGACAAAAAATGGTTATTGTTAACCACATAAATATTCTAAAAGAAATAGAATATCAACCAGGCAAAGTGGGGACCAAAGGAAGGCCCAAACTGTATCTGCACGATGTCCACTTGTTTACCTAACCCTGAATTGTACTCCACATCTTTAAAATAAAATATATATTTTTTCCATGGAGTGTCCACATTTAGTATCAGACACAGCACAGCATTTTCTTCTGTGTGTGTGCGCGTGTGTACATGTTTGTGTCTTAATCGGAAGTTCTTTGCTTCTTTGTGTGACTATTAAAGGAAACTAACCTGAAATGTGATCTGTCGCACTACAGGTTGCTTCAGGTGAATGCAATGAAGACACTGAAGTTTACAACATCACCCTGTGTACTGGGGATGAACTCACTCTGATGGGGCAAGCAGAAATCCTTTATGCAAAGACTTTCAAGGAAAAGTCCCGACTCAACACAATCTTCAAAAAGATCGGGAAGCTCAACTCCATCAGCAAACTGGGAAAAGGCAAGATGCCATGCCTCATTTGCATGAACCACCGGACCAATGAAAGCATCAGCCTCCCATTCCAGTGCAAGGGCAGGTTCAGCACCCGGAGTCCCCTGGAGCTTCAGATGCAAGAGGGTGAGCACACCATCCGCAACATCGTGGAGAAAACCAGGCTTCCTGTGAACGTGACCGTGCCAAGCCCTCCGCCGAGAAACCCCTATGACCTCCACTTCATCCGCGAGGGGCACCGCTACAAGTTTGTGAACATCCAGACCAAGACCGTGGTGGTTTGCTGTGTGCTGCGGAACAACAAGATCCTCCCCATGCACTTTCCTTTGCACTTGACTGTCCCCAAGTTCAGCCTCCCAGAACACCTGGTAAAAGGGGAGGGATGGCCGGAGACCCTGGTCCATCACTGGCTGGGTATCTGCCAGGAACAGTTCGACATCGATGAGTACTCACGGGCTGTCCGTGACGTGAAGACCGACTGGAACGAGGACTGCAAGAGCCCCAAGAAGGGCCGGTGCTCTGGCCACAACCACGTGCCCAACTCCCTCAGCTATGCCCGCGACGAGCTCACCCAGTCCTTCCACCGGCTCTCCGTCTGTGTGTATGGCAACAATCTCCATGGCAACAGCGAGGTGAACCTCCACGGCTGCAGGGACCTGGGGGGAGAGTGGGCCCCCTTTCCTCATGACATCCTGCCCTATCAGGACTCTGGCGACAGTGGGAGCGACTACCTTTTCCCGGAAGCCAGTGAAGAATCAGCAGGCGTCCCGGGGAAGTCAGAACTTCCTTACGAAGAGTTGTGGCTGGAGGAAGGCAGGCCCAGCCATCAGCCTCTCACTCGCTCCCTGAGTGAGAAGAGCAGGTGCGAGCAGTTTAGAGGTTCTGTCCGGTCCAAGTGTGCGACTTCTCCTCTTCCTGTCCCTGGGACTCTGGGAGCAGCAGTGAAGTCTCCAGATACTGCCCTACCTCCACCTCCAGTGCCTCCCAAATCTGAAGCCGTAAGTCCTTTCTGTTTGCGAGTGCTACCAGTCTTTCTGCCTCTCTGCTTAACCATCCACTAACTTATTTTCTTGACGCAAGGAAACTCCCCAACTGAAGATTACCAGAGTTAGCAAATGTGTTTAGTTTGGAGTGAAATATACATGCTAACTAGATTACTTTGACCAGTTAGGATTAGAGTATTACTCTATGTTTGATGAGAAACTATTGAAGAGTTTTTAACAAGAGAGGTTTCGACCAGGCATGGTGGCTCACACACCTGTAATTCCAGCACTTTGGGAAGCCGAGGCGGGAGGATTGCTTGAGTCCCAGCTACTTGGGAGGCTGAAGCAAAAAGATCATCTGAGCCCAGGAGGACGAGGCTACCGTGAGCCGTGATCATGGCACTGCACTCCAGCCTGGGCAACAGAGTGAGACCCCAACTCAAGGAAAAAAAAAGAGATTTAAGCGTGACTTTTGCTGCCACCCAGATAATGAGTTATAGGGAAGAGAGAATGGTGGGGGGAGGCCAGGGCGGAGGCAGTTGTAGTAATGTAGGTGTGAGGTGGGGAAGCCCTGGGCCACAGCAGCTGGCAACAGCTGGCAGGGAGAGACGGCTAATTCAGGGTGTGCTTCAGAGGCAGACCCAGCAGCATTTACTGATGGATTGCATGTGGGGCGTGAAGGAAAGAGAGCAGTTAAGGAAAACTAGAGTTTTAGCTTGAGCAACAGTGTGGATATCAGTGCCATTTACAGTGATGGGGAAGACTGACGGAGGAGTCTATTTACTTGGGGATGGGAGGGGAAGCAATGGAGAACCAAGAGACGTCAGCATCACTTTAATGCTCTCCTCATCCCTGAAGTTATGCTGAGATCGAAGCATAATGGGGTTACGTTCACTCTCTCTCACATGTGTGTGCTCGTGTGCACTCGCTCTCTCTCTCCCCCCTCCCTCTCCCTTCCCCCTCATCCCTCTCCCTCTCCCTCTCCCTCTCCTCTCCTCTCCTCATTTCTTTCTCCCCCCCCACACACACTCAAGAACCAGGTGCCAGGGTGGCTTTCTTTAACACCTTAAACATAACTCACTCAGAGCTAGATGAGACTTCTATCAAATTTGAATGTAAAATTAAAATTTCAATACAAAGTAGGAGAAAGGACCTTCTGTTGTTTTGTTTTGTTTTGTTTGAGTTGGAATCTCACTCTGTCACCGAGGCTGGAGTGCAGTGGCACGATCACGGTCACCGCCATCTCAACCTGCTGGGCTCAGGCAATCCTTCTGCCTCAACATTCCAAGTAACTGGAGCCACAGGCACATGCCACCACGCCTGGCTAATTTTTTGACTTATTGTAAAGATGAGGTCTCGCCAAGTTGCCCAGGCTGGTCTCTAATCCCTGGACTCAGGCAGTCCCCTCACCTCCACCTCCCTGGTGAGAGCCACTGCACTTGGCCTAGGACCCTCTGTTTTGATTGTGTTCTTTGATTGACAGCCACTCTGAACCTTTGCTGTTCATTTGTGATCACTGGATTTCATTATATCTGAAGGGAGAAAGTGCTAGAGGCATTGGGTGTAATTCTGTTTATTTCCTTGACAGTATCTTTGATAGTGGTTTTCTTTTTGCTATCTCTAGAAGAATCTCATATAGAAAAGTTAAAATCAAAACCCATCTGGCTGAAGTACATACTGGGGGGAGGATGTCTTCCTTGTGCCCCTGCCACGTAGTTTTAGGATACCTCTTGAGCCCTACCTAGGTCTATGCAGAACTCAGTTTCAAAACCATGGACTTCCTGAAGTAGATGTTAGAAATACAATCATCAGCTGGGCTTAGTGGCTCAGCCTGTAATCCCAGCACTTTGGGAGGCCAAGGCGAGTGGATTGCCTGAGCCTGTGGGTTCGAGACCAACCCGGGCCACTTGGTAAGACCTTGTCTCTCTACAATAAATCAAAAACTAGCCAGGCGCAGTAGTATGTACCTGTAGTTCTGGCTACTTGGAAGGCTGAGGTGGAAGGATCACTGGAGCCCAGCAGATCGATGCTAGGGTGGCCATGAGCATGCCACTGCACTCCAGCCTGGGTGAAAGAGTGAGACTCCAACTAAAAAAAAGAAAAGAAGAGAAAAAGGAATATAACCCTTAACAAGCCCTGGGCTCTGGGCCCTAATCCTCCTCAGTTTTATAGGGAAGAGATGGATGTTATACAAGCTAAAAGGTGATCAACAACAGAAGAGAGACAGACTTTAAAATGTGGGCTTTCATAGGGGAAACTTCTAGTTGGGGGATGAATAGGGGAAGCCTTCCCAAAGGTGTTGGCATGTTAAATGCGCTTGGAGAATGTACGTGAATTGAAAGAGCGGAGAGAGGAGCAAGAAGAGCCTTCCAGACCAAACAGCGTGATCAAGGGAGTGGAAGCTTGAAGCACACGTGAGGGGGACCAAGGAGCCCCGTCATGCTGTTGGATGAGGCTGGGTGGGGTGCGGGAAGGGCTGTGTTGCTTGGAGCACTGGAGCCGGGATGTGGGTAGCCACAGTGCAGGGTGGAAGTCTATGCCAGGGCCAGGCCTAGTGGTCTGTGAAGAGCCCTCAGTTGCCATAAAGCTTTCCCAAGAGAGGATCCACCTCTGACCCTTAGCTCCAGGACATAAGAACTCCCTAGAAGCTGCAGATCTGGACTTGCCCTCTCCGTCTTACAGGACCTTCCAGGGACCATAAGGCCCAAGCCCAGAGATCCTTGTACTCAGTGGAATATTTGGGGAAGTCAGGCTGGAGTTGGGGTCCTTGGTCCTTACGTTCGTGTCAGAGATTCCCTAAGGGTGTTCCCCAAAACCGAGGTAAAATGTAAGGGGGCATGCCTCTAAGCAAGTACTCCTGGCACTTCAGAGATGTCTTAACTCAGCTATATATTTTATGTTACTTGAAGGCTAGGGCTCTGATCTTCAATAGGAACATGACCACATGAACGTTTCCTGTTAAACTTGGATCCTGCCTGGCCTATAGTGGGGACTCATGTTTGTTGACTGACTAATAGACTCATCCAAGGTGGTCACACCCAGTGTGATTTACGTAGCCAAGTCTAGCAGTAGGAAACCTAGCATCACTTGTTTTTTCTGTGGCTAATGAAAGATGAGTAAGAACGTAAATATTAAGAGGTCCGATCTTGACCTTGGCACTAAAAAAAATGCAAGAGTTAAATTTGAAACTAAAAGCAAATCTCACAGAAGAAACGATTTTGGCATCCAGCCTAAGCTGTAATTTCTTACGACGTAAGAGGATCTTTTCAGAGTATGTCCAGTGTTTATAGAATGCTATAAACATACAGTTTTTTTGTAAACACCTGAAATCATTTAATTTACTTTTTAAAAAATAGGCATTTCAAATGAAGTCATATTATTTATGGGTTCTGTGACCATGAAGTGAATTTTCCGTTTTTAGGATGTGCGTGGGATCCAGAGAACGTCATGATTGTTAGATGTGGCTTCAGCTTGTAATTTTCAAGAGGGAACTTTAATGGGGCATACATTCAAGTGCTCCCACAGGATTAAATAAAAGTTCTTCCTTGGATGGCTCCAGTGGAGGGCATCCTGGGGGAGAGATGGGCTGTGTGTCAGCAGGTATCCCACTAGATGATTAAAGATGCTGGTGAGCATTCAAGAGAGACCAACCGGACATTCTCTGAAAATGTGAGACTCCCACCAGGTCCTTGGGAATAGAAGGTGCCTGTTGCCCAGGCAGGAGTGCAGTGACACAGTCATGGCTTACTGCAATCTCGACCTCTTAGGCTCAAATGATCCTCCTACTTCGGCCTCCCCAGTAGCTGGGACTATAGGTGTCGCCCAAACTGGTCTCGAATTCTTGGGCTCAAGCCATCCTCCCAGCTCAGCCTTCCAAAGTGCTGGGATTACAGGCGTGAACCACCTTGCCCAGGGGGTGTCTTTTTAAGTTAAGGGAAGCAAAGCTGGCAGTTGAGAGGGTTCTGTTTAGCCACAGACCTGCCCATATTACCCTCTGGAGGTACCATGGCTGCATTGCGGTGCCTGTCAGCCTGTTTGCTTTCTGGTAAGTGCTGTGTTCCTCACTTTCAGCTCCAGGGTCCTTAGTTGTGACATATATATATTTGTACTCTCTTCCCAGTAGATTTTAGACAGTCTTTGTTTCTTTGTGTGAACGTAACAGTAAATCTTCCCTTTTGCATGTAATGCATACCACGTTTCCCACGTGGTGCTGCATCCACGCTATGTTTCCCATAGCCCTGGCATCATCTGGGCACTGCTTGTCAACCCTTTCCTACCTGTATCTTTAAAAAGGGAAACCGGGTTGTGGGGCCAAACAGAAAATCCTCAGAGGCAGAATCAGCAACTCAGCCCTGTTCGGATGCGTTGGACTTGATTCCCTACGTATTCCCTTCCTCACAGGAATGTCCCAGGGAAAAGTAAACAGCTCCTGTCGAAGATCTGAGCCGGATGCAGCCTCCTGCACCCTCTGGGACTGCTGGGACTGAGCCCAACGGAGGCAGATGCCGTGTGGCATTTTCACTTAAAAAATGTTGCAAGGTGCCCCCAGATCAGACTGACCTGAACGTCTCTTTTAAGTGGATTATCCTTATTGATCCATACGTGTGTTCTAACAGGCTCTCTATTTCGTGACATTATAGGCCTCCGTTTGTCCATCGTAATTTTCTGGGTATTGGCTTGTGTGTCTAAGTATTTCCCCAGATGCACTCTACAAGTGGCAGTCTTCAAGAGCTGTCTTCTTTTCTCCCCTCTTTAGAAAATGCCATTTTGAAGAGCAATGCTGGGAAGACTTCATATTGCACAAAATTCTATAAATAGAACGTCTGACTCCCAGATGCTCTGGGCTAAGCAGTGAATTGCAAATGGTTTATCAAAACTACAGGGTCACAGCTTTTCTAAAACCACTTGGATGGCAGGGTCCTATCTGGAGACCCCAGAACCCAGTGGTCAGTGTCTCCCTTCTGTCTTCAGTAACTAAAAAAACACCTTCACTCTTGGTTGTTGACGTCATAACA